AACACAACTTAAGCAGCGTCTACAGTACTAAATGGCTCCACCCCCAATCCCTAACCAAAACAATAGACTTATAATATCTAAAACGACCCAGTAGTTAACGAGAGGAATTTACAGGAAGAGGATTGGTCAGCTCTGATCGGCATGCTGCTTACATCACATTCTGAGATGCACGATGAGTATAAAAAGCTTCTAAGTGTTGGCTTACATGTAGTGTTACCAGTACACTAACTAATATCTAAAATGAAAAAGAAGGTGCACCCCAAAACTGATATTAAAGAGGACCTATTAATGCTTATTTCCAACTCTGTTTTTACTCCGGGAGCTTTGCATGATTCACAGTTCAAAATAAGTCCTATTTGTTTTACAGGACGTCTTGCAGCAGCGTCAAAAGGTGCAGTTTTTTTAATGGCCACTTGAGGCTGCTGGTTACAAAAGGGAGTCAATCCCTGTGTTAAAATTTTCAGCTCACCTGGAAGCATAAAAACAGCCTGAGACAAAAAGTATTTTAGTCTGAATGGAAAGTTTCTCCTGTAAACGCGATCTTTTGTTCTCTTAGCATTTTTAGCATTGTTGATGCTATTGTCTGATAAAGAATACAGCCTGTTGTGAGGCACAAGTTTGTGCTACGGTTTCAGTCACTCCACCCTCTTATCCAAATGCTCCTCCCTCTTCAAGCCAGCTTTTTTCTGATTGGCTGTCCCTCTTAAACAGCCCTCACTGGAAACAGGAGCTGCAGTTTCCTGTTTTCAGTGAGGGCTGTTTCTGTGCTAACGGTCAAAACTATGTGTGTAATATGACAGTATTGGGTAAATCTACTCTTGTAGACTTTTTTCATATGGGTTTTGACCACTGTGGCAAAAATAAGGAAAAGCAGAATAGGTCCCCTTTATATTAGTTCACCATTTGATTTCCTATTTCTCTTAAATGCTATGCATCCGTTTCTGTGCAACGTGTTGGGCAATATGAAAAAAAACCCCAATTACCACAGAAAATAACTGCAGGTTCCTGTTTTGATATCTTATTATAATCTGTCTTAATTAGAATAATAAAATAAAAAACTCCTTCTAGCTGTCGGATTTATAATAAGGGGGAAATGTGTCTTATTTTTCAAATGCCACCCATCAAAGTGCTTAGAAAGTCCCGCAGCCGATGCTCTCGTTGGTTGGCGAAGGCACCGTGACGAGGTTCAGGGTTATTTCTCCCAGCGGGGACTGGCTGGCCAGAGACTGGAGGATGGTGATGGATTCAAAGATGGACTGAGCGTTCTGTACCTGCTGTTCTTCCCACGGTAGAGTGATCTGCAGAGGAAAGAGCAGTAAAGGCAGTTTTTACCATTTACTGAAATCAGACGGACTGAGCGTTCTGGACCTGCCGTTGTTCTCATCGTAAAGTAATCTGTAGAGGAGAGAGTAGTGAAGGTAGTTTTTGTTAGTTACTCAGATCTCCTGTGTTGGAGCTGCGGATTTCTCCACATTTAAAGGTCCCTAAAAATGAATTTGGAAACTGGTTTTAACGCTTCCCTTTCAGCTGATTGGCTTCCCCTCACAAGCAGAAGGTTTGAACAGCATGTTGGGGGGGTTTCTATGCCTGATATAACCAGTTATGAGGGCTAGCCCCTCTCTGACATCACAAAGAGCCAAAAATGGGGCATTCAGAGCAGTGTTAACCCTGAGCTTTTGGATGAGGAGTGTGCAAGTCCACTTGCAGGGAAGAGGGCACCAGTTAAGCACAGGTTGTTACAGAAGAATAAATAAGTTAGGTGTCACTAAAATCACATGTGAGTAACAATCGCAGCAGCTGAAGGATGATTTAAAGGAAATGAATATTGGTGACAATTAAAGGACAAAGAAAGGAAACTTTTCTCTAGTTACAGTTTTCAATAATCCAGTGTGTGGTTTACCTGAAATTCCCTGGAAAATCCCCACCACAGAACAAACATACTGCTGAGTGTGTGTGGTTTACCTGAACAATGATCAGCTTTTTGGAAGGGTCCTCTGAGTCACTCAGCTCTTCTCCGAAACACAGGGTGAAGCCAAACTGGGGAGGCTC